TATATATATATATATATGTATGTATATATATATATATATATATATATATATATACATATATACATATATATATATATTAATGTTGGAACTTTATTCTTGCAAAATAAATTTGACCGTATTTTCACAGCATTATTTTTCATGTAGGGTTATACATTTCTCATAATATTGTGAAAATAGCCGTAAGCCATTTGAATGATCTGAATAAACTAGCCAATTTATTTTACAAAAATATTCTCACAGTATTTATGAGGAAAAACCTCAAACATGAAAAAAGTTTTATTTTTTCCCCAGAAAAAAATGTCACAATTTTATGAGGATCAATTCACAATATTTGGAGAATAGTCATTCGTTTAAAAAAAAAGTTAAGTCACACTATTATGAAGAATAAGTTGCAAAATAAAATATTTTGAAAATTGTATTTTGTTAAGAGAATTTAAATTCACACAATTTAGGGAAATAAATTGCAACTGTTTTGAATAAATTTGGAATTTTACTTGAGTCATCAAAATAATACTGTAGTTTCACGAAAACAAAATCATCAACTTTGGACTTTCACTCATTAAAAGTACGGCTATCTATTTGTATTTTTATTTTATTTTTTTTACTGTTGTACACAAAATACCAGCGAGTCCGAGTATATGATAACATAGGTCAAGTTTATTTGCTGTGAAACCACACTACAGCAGGAGCGAGAAGCCTTCACAGTGGCCGTCGTCATTTTGTGTCCCGTCTAACCGCTCGCCGGCTAAAACCAAGAGTAAGAAAGTCCAATACACACTCATCAAATCAAATGAATGATTAGAATCAGCACAAAATTAAAAACAATCAATAAATACTGAATAAATAAGTGAATAAATAAAACGCCACCTTATTTATTCTACGCCCAAAGAAAATAAATAGCTCGAACGCATCCGCCCTGTCGATAATTTCATGAGTCGATTGTTTTTCGCTGCATTGACATCCCTGTTTCATGACTTTTTATCGAGACCCAAGCACCAGACGGGAATTTTTGAGGACTCAGCTTCTCGATTTTGCCAAGGTCATTTATCCCGATGAATAATTGTGTTTTAGCACATCCAATCACAACACGCCAAACTTCACTCAATAGCGCCCCCCACTGGAAAAATAGAGGGGGGAAAAAAATCAGCCACGGATATCAGTTTGGCCGATCGACGGCTAAATAGGTTGGACTTGTCTATCACAGAAAGACGCATAAAAAAGTCTCGAGGACGCACGGTTGAAATTCAACAGGAAGTCGGCCATTTTGGTTTGAATTCTAGTGAACGGGAAAAAAAACGAGCCCTGAACAAAAGTTTGCTGATGGACACTAATTTGGGTGGACAGGTCGAAATTCCTGAAAGAATTTTACTCGAGGATTCACCCAAAAATGAGCCAAAAGCGGAAGCAGGTATCCTTGACTCGAAATGAGCAAGCTTTTTTGTCAAGGCCGCTTTATGCGGGCTACGCATGGTGTCAAATTATGATGATTATTTCGGGCAGTTGACGTGGAAAAGGAAATGCGAGGGCCGTTTCGTTGCAGCTTGCAGCTCTAGTTATTCTTCCAATTGAAAAAAAAAGGTCTTTTAGGGAGCTTCAACTTGGCCGAAAATGCACTAATTTTGTCAAGTTCGATCGGTCCTGAACACAAACCTCCAAAAACACACTCAGTAGCGCCACCTGGAGAGTTAGAAAAAAAAAATCAGTCCCCTGACATCAGTTTTGAGCAAAATCGACATGAAATTTGGTGTACATGTCTTTTTAACAGGACACATGGCAAAGTCTCTCGAACCCAAGCCCGAAGTCGAACAGTAAGTCGGCCATTTTGGACTCTTACTTTGATGAACGCCGATGAGAGATTTGGTCCAAATGAGCCACAGACAGAAGCAGGTAGCCTCAACAGATGGGCGACTCTAAAAAATTTTTTGTGGAGCACAGTGCCAAAGTTTGATGATCATTTTGGCTTGAATAAAAGTGGGGTGCGAGGGCCTGCCTGTGGTCAATTTGATGCCAAGGGTAGCTCAGAAGCGGGCATAAGCACACAAATCACACACTCTGCTGCGATAACCCTGGCAAAGATCAGCACACCTTTCAAGCAGCAGCTTTTTTTTTTTTTTCTGTACAAAACCAAAACGGCAAATAGCATAATGAACCCCCCCTCGAACTCCCCAAGAAGAGAAAAAAAAGGTGCTTCTTGTTCCGGCTTGAGCACAAAATCCCAGAAAGATTCCCATCGTACATTCTTCAATCTGATACCCCAAAAAAAAGCTGAAACGCTTTGGTAGGCAACTGTGAAATATTAACTGCACGCTGCCGATGCTTCATTCAAACTTCGCAAGCACCACTGCACGACTCACATCTGTTTAAGCAGCCTCTCATACTATATATATATATATATATATATATATATATATATATAAAACTAGATTTGCAGCCTCAAAGCCTTGATTGGAGACGACTATTGGAGGCCGTGAGAACTTTGCATAGATGAAATGTTCAGCAGTGTTCATGCAAGGTAAGTCCAAAAGTTCAAATTCACTATATGGACAAAAGTATTGGGACGGGTGGCGGCAGTCACAATGAAAGAAAGCATGGAGTCGGTTCCCGAACATGAGAAAAAAAATTGCAGTTTTATGTCAATAAAGGTCTAATATGAAATAATTTGTTGGTGCAACTTTTCCAGGTTAAAGTTTGTCCTCATAATTAATTGGTAATTTCAAGAGAATAAATGAGCAATATTCTCAGAATAACATCTGAATATTCAGAGTACGTTTGTAATATTACACATCAAAAAGTGTGAATTTTATGTGAATAAAGTGATACTGTCATAGTTGATGAAAATGGAATTACGTTAATAAAATAAAGTTGTTGTATTGCAAGAATTAAGCTCAAATTTTACATGGGGGGGGAAGGGATGAACGTCTTTTTACATCAAACTGATTTTATGTGTATGAAGTCATAATATTACTAAAATGAAGTCTGAATTTCAAATGAATAAAGTCAAAAACGAAATAAAAATGATAACTTTGAAAGTGAAGTCAGATTCTACAGATTAATTTTTTGGGCTGACTTTTAGACGGATAAAATCCTAATGTGACATTTTTTTAAGTCACTCAATGTGAATATTATCAGGATAGATTCGTAATATTCGATGAACGCAAAAGTGTCATTTTACCCAAACCTGAATATTAAGAGGAAAAACGCCATTTCCTGAAAAGATACTTAAATACCCCCCTACTCCCTCCTCGAAATGATACAAATGCATTTTCTCAATATTTCCCGCACAATATTGCGACTTCATGATCCCAATTCAAACTCTGACTGACGAACGGAGTGATGCGTAAAGCGTGGCGTCCCAAGACTTTTGTTCACATCGTGCAGTCTGTCCCTCTCCGCCGTTGCACCGCCGTCGCCCCAGCGAGTGCAACTATCATTCACAGTGTAGTCAAAAGTGAGTCCAAGCAGCAAACCCAAGTCACGGAACAGTCACCAACATCCACGTTTGCGTCCGTGTTGGCTCTTGTCTTTTCCTCTTTGCGGTTGTTGGGTTGGAGGATGTGGGGTGGGTGTAGGGGTGGAGGTCAGGGGTCACCTCAGAGGAAGAAGTCAGGGGGCGGCGACGGCGGGCTGCCGCCGTTGGCGCCGCGGCCCGACGAGGCTTCGTTGTGGCAGGCGCCGAGGAGCTTCTCGTAGCGGGCCTTGTAGGCGTCTCGCTCCCGCAGCACTCGGGTCAGATCGCACTGGAGCTGCTCCAGCTGGCCCAGACAAAAAAAGACAGGACGGCGGTTACGACTGTCAGAAAATCTTGCCAGACTTTTGAATCACTTTGGCTTGTTTTTTTTTTTTTTTTGGCATCAATAGGGACTCGAGCATGAAAAATCGGCTCAAGGGGGTCCCTGGAAGCATTTCAAAATTCAGCGCCAGAAGACAGACTTACTTAGCAACATGAAATTTGGTGGCGAGGTCCAAGAAGCATTGTAAAACCATCCATTTTCGGATCCACTTTGTCCTCACAAGGGTCGCAGGAGGTGCTGGAGCCTATCCCAGCCGTCTTCGGGTTGTAGGCGGGCAACACCCTGAACCGGTTGCCAGCCAATCGCACGGCACACAGAGACGAACAACCATCCGCGCTCACACTCACACCGAGGGACAATTTGGAGTGTTCCAGTAACCCACCCATGCATGTTTTTGGAATGTGGGAGGAAACCAGAATACCCGGAGAAAACCCACGCAGGCACTGTGAGGTCCACGCGCTAACCACTGGACCACCGGGTCGCCTTGTTTTTGTTTGCGGCTCGATGGTCAAACACCTCAGCACGTTGGCCTCACAGTGCAGAGGTGCCGGGCTCGAGCCCAGCTGCGGCCTTCCTGTGTGGAGTTTGTGCATGGCAGGCTGATTGAACACTCTAAATTGTCCCTGGGTGTGAGTGGGAGCGCGGCTGGTTGTTCGTCTGTGTGTGCCCTACGATTGGCTGGCAACCGGTTCAGGGTGGCCTCCTCCTACTGCCCGAAGACGGCTGGGATAGGCTCCAGCACACCCCGCGACCTTTGTGACGATAAAGCGGATCAGAAAATGGATGGATGGAATGCCACAAAATTTTCAACTACGCATTCGTTTCAATTCCAGTTGGTTTGTTTTTCTTTTGCATAGAACAGTGCTGGCTCCAATGTTTTTTTTTTTTTTAAAGAACACATTGGAGACTGTCTTTCTTCACTAATTACAGTACATTTGCTGTGAGAAAGATGGCTAACTCCTTGTATTTCCCACTTACTGCACTACTTTTTTTTGTTTGTTTGTTTTTCGGGACAAATTCCTACTAAATTGTCGCAGGCCAAGCGCATCGCCAATGTACCTGTTGCGTGAGCACATGTTTCTCCGACTCCAGGGCGTGGCGGTGCTGTAGGCGCTTGTAGCGGCACGACTGGGCGTAGCCGCGGTTCTTTAGCGTGCGCCGCTTCTGCTTCAGGCGCACCACCTCGTCCTTGCTGACGCCGCGCAGGTGGCGGTTGAGCTCGCGCACCGACAGGCTCACCAGTTGCTCATCGGAGAAGCGATCGTTCCCGCCGCACTGCAAAACACCCCAGAGTCATTTTTTTTCCTCACTCTTGCGGAAGATCATGAACAATGCGTTGAATCTACGGGGGGTTCACAGCGGATGTTTGTTTGTCGAAGGGGAGGGTGGGGGTCATTTTCGCTGTCCCATAATCTGTCGCGTAATCCGACATAAGTGTGCCTGACAGTTATCGGGATTACGCCGGGCAATAATAGCAGATATTAATACAAGACTGAACCGCACTCCACATCGAGCTCAAAGAGATCCACCAAGACATCCAAGTGTAAAATTGAAATGGCGGTCTTTTGAATATCAAATATGTGACACGGTATTGAAGTGTATTTGTGATGTCACGCTTCACTGTCAGCCAGTTAGTGATTCTACATGTAAGAAAATAATCCAAGTCACAAAAGCTAATTTAATGCAGTTTTCCTGACCACACAGAAGGGAATTTGGAATTGCGACCATTCAAATGTCGTAGAAATGAAACCTTCATTGTGTGTGTGTGTGTGTGTGTTGAAATGCAGTACATGACAAATTTTTTTGTAAGGGGGCGAAAGTTTAGCAAGGCGACGCAACAAAGAAACTTTAGACGATATAGACCAGGGGTCCCCAACCCCCGGTCAGCGGACCGGTGCTGGTCCGCGGGTCATTTGGTACCGGGCCGCACACAAAGAATAAATAATTTACATCACTTCCGTTTTATTCATTTCAGAATCTGAAATATGTTTTATTTAAAACATTTACCGCATTCTCCGTTACATCCGTCTACAGTATGTCACTCTTGACGCAGGTGAATACGCGATTCTCGGTCACGCCGCTAAAATGAAACCCGGGAACGAGCAAAATGGAAAAAAACGAACGTCTTTGGAAAGTTTCTTTGGGAAGGGGAAAAGGGCCAGCCAGGTGACATTTAATAGACAGTATCAGGAGTCCTACTAAAAATACGGATTTATCTCAACGCCACAAGCCCACTCTGCATAATAAGCGGCGATGGTGACTCGTATTTTTCGTGCACTTTGTATTTGCGGTGTATCTTATTTTGAAGGCAGGTTTAAACGTTACGATCAGAGTGCTGCAGCCATATAGGACGTTCCTTTTGTCATGATTCATGTTTATTAATATGTTTCGAAAATACCATCGATTTCATGCAGGTCATATTATATTATTTTGTTGTTTTTATCTGTCACACTTTCAAGGACGGTCCCTGAAAATATTATTTGACATTAAACCGGTCCGTGGGGCAAAAAAGGTTGGGGACCGCTGATTTAGAAGACCGGTTACATTTTTAACCGCCAATAATGCCGAAATTGCTGACAACAAATCCGAGTCCATCCCGAAGTGAAACTGCCCAAATTGGGCTCAAGTGAAAAAATGTGATTGTCGTCCCGACTTTTCAATTGCGTCAAATGTTTGCTTTCGTCCCACCTGAGCGACTTGCGGGTGATGATGATGATGGTGATGGCCGCCGTGCACGGGGTGGTGAAGGTGGTGCTGATGGTGGTGGTGATGCTGAAGGGGGAGGAGGCGGCCCTGGGGGCTGAGAGGTTGCGGGTAGGGAGCCGGCCCCGCTGAGGCGGCGGTGCCGGGGAGCGACGGGTTGGACAGGAAGACGAGCGGCCGGTGGCACATGTCGCCGCCCTTGGGGCAGGACGCGTCGGCGCCGCTGTCGCTGCCCGAGTCTCCCAAGGTGCTGTTGGAGCTCTGAGAAAGACCTGGAAACTGAAGACAAGAGAGGGATTCGTACTCGACACTCTTGAGGGTAAATTACGATCCAGCTCTCGATCGCAGAGCTGCTTTGGTACCTGGGAGCTGACGGCCGCAGCGGCCGAGTTCAGCAAAGCCTCCACGGCGTCCTCGCAGCCCAGGAAACCGTTGACAGGCGCCCTGTCTCTGTCGCCCAGGGCGCCCAGGAGGGTGGCGGGCCCCGGGACCTCTCCGCCAAACTGCTGCTGCAGGGCCGCAAACCAGATCAGATCTTCCAGCGAAGCCGGGCCGGGGCCTTGAGGCGGGCCGGCGTGGCCCGGGCTGCTGTCCGCGTTCCCCTGAGATCCGGCGGAATTGACGCTGGACGTGAAGCCGGAGAGCGGGAAGGAGATGGAGGACGAGGATGACGAGAGCGAGGACGAGCCCGACGGCGGCGGGTGGGCGTCGCTCAAAGTGGGCGAGGGCGGCAACGAGTCGTAAGGGCTCGAGCTCAAGCTGGAGTCCGGCGGAGGAGGGTGGCCGGCGTACGGCGAGCCGCTCGCTTTGGGGTACCCGCATTGAGCGGAGAGCGGCGGCGTGTCGGGTTTCACCTCGAACTTGAGGAGGTCAAAGTCGTTGAGGTACTCCATGGCCAGCGGGCTCGGGGGGAGCGAGTTCATGGGGAGGGAGGGCGAGGACATGATGTCTGCTGTCTGTCAGGAATGCTGGGAAATCCGCCGGAGAGCCTCCGGGTGGCTCATAGACGGCGGCGGAGGCAAGCAGGACAAGTGAGGATCTCGCTCGGTTTCGGGCTTTGTGGTGTGCGTGCGTTTCTCTGGTGCTGAAGTGAGTCAAGGCAGAAAAATGACATGTTGACAAGTTATTTTGGCAACCCATGCAGCCATCTTTTCGGGACCAGTTCAGTCGCCACTCGATCAGAGTTCAACCGACAAAGCATTTAAAGTCGTATTCACAAAACATCGTGTATTCACCATGACAGAAACAGTCGATTGTTTAAAAAAATAAAATAAAAATAATCATGCAGCTGTGTCAGCCGTTGATGTGCGCGACCCCGTTTCTTCCCAAATGTGTGCTTGAATCCCACGAATGATCAACAAAGTCAACTTCTGAAGATGTGAGCGAACAATAACGACTTGGATGTCGTACGTCAGAGCGACTATTGATCAGACGCGTGAATAGACGTGTTGCGGCGTGCGATAACTCAAAAAGGCTTAACATTTTTGACATAAAGATTCACAAGTCTCGCGGACCAAATCCAATTAACGTCAGACGCTTAATCCACAGGGGACACTTTCAACGGGAACGCGAGCGCACTTCTATTGTAGCCAAACAACTGTTTTTTTTTTTTGTTTTGTCAAGTACAACTTTCTTGTCAAATGTGCGACTTGTGAAGCACAGATGAAATTTCCTCCCTCTTAGACAACAAGAGGAGCCGCTGCGGGTGCCCGCGCCGCCATCAAAAGAACACTTCACATAAAATGACAAAATAATACAACACAACACATCAAACAGACAGTGTAGCGGGTCACGTTGACCCATCAAGATATGTGGTTGTACCAATGAAACATATTGCTAGCGTGTACAGCATATCTGTTTCAATGGCTCGACAAACACGCGGTTTTCTTAAATTTCCTGAAAAGTGATGGCTTTGGAGATGCGAGCTTCTGCCAACGATATGTAACAAGAAGGCTACATTATTTTTTTTAATTTTGGTATGGCAGTTTATTTTTTTTAAATGCAGAATCCTATTTCCCGCCTTATTCAAGTGCACTGAGGACCGTTCAATCCACAGTGGGTCATATTGACCCGAGAACATGGAAAAGGGGGGGGTTAAAGAATCCTAGGTTAGGTTTATTTCATTCTAACTGCCCTTTTTTTTCATTGGCTATCACACAGTTCATGCTTCTCGTGAGATGCCATTCAGGCGTGTTGCAAGCTACGCTACTTGGTCGCTAAAATCCAGGCCTTCAAAAATAGAATGACTGCGGTCAAAATGAAAGTGTAATTAAAAAAATAATCCACCTTTGACTTGCGCCTCTGCGGCCCACCTCATTAGTTGGGACCCCTACGGTTTCAAATGAGCCCTTGCGGTGCGCGGAGGCCTCCGCCATCATCATCATCATCACACACGTACTCGAAAGTCACACACGGATGGAGAAAAAAAAAAAGTATGTGATGAACTTACCGTCAGTCATAGAGATGAGCGATGAGCTGGGGTTGACATGATGGCACACACGCGCGCGCGCTCGCGCACAGACACATACACACACACACATATACAAAAAAAAAAAAAAAAAACCCCAATGGACGCACCGACTGCGTGACTGACAGGAGGACACCGAGTGTGTGTGAGCGTGTTAGTGTATGCGAGTGTCTATCGTGCTCTGTCACTCAGTTCCACTGCCCCCTTCCTTTCTTTCCCGACTGATGCAAATCCCTGTTAGCAACAATCCGACATCCCCTCGCAAGCTGCCCCCCCCCTTCACCCGGCCACCGCGTCCCCTTTTTTTTTTGCGCCCCCCGTCTGACCCAACATAAAAAACACACACACACACACACACACACACACACACACACACACACACACACACAAAGATGGTGTGTACGGCGATGCTGCTGTGCCCTTGGCCTCACTTCTAACACACTTGTCGCTCACATTTTTCTTTGGCAGCAAAGTTAGGGCCTTTGGCAAAGCGACTCAGCGTCGCCGCATCGTGGCCACTTGCCGCTACTGCACCCTGCCTCATCTCAGCTCAACTGCTGCGTTTTGGTTCGTTGCTCAAGCAACAACTATTGATTGACATTGGTAGGAATGGGTGATATCATAAATATGCAGAGTTTTAATTTGTTTTTTTTGTTTTTCGGATAATAAGTTCTGGATGTCCACAACTGTCGGCGTCTCATTTCTGTAGCCGGAAATCTGAACTGAACTTCTTGGCCGCTCCCACAGGTGGTGGGCTCAGTGAAAGAGAATTTAAATAAATAAACACTATTGCTAACAATAACAGTTTCAAATTAACTCTAAGACTAAGAATAATAAAATACATTCAATTGTTTTTGTTTTTTTTTATTGACCATTAACTTTTACATACGGCTTGAAATTGTGCCTGACATTTCCTGATTATATGAATCGCAGGTCAAAAATAAATTCTTATGAGAAGGTGACTGAAAAATATTTAAATGTCAGAGTTTTCCAGTTCATTTTCAATTTTGCAATGTAATAATCATAGCTTTTATTTATATGCCACCTGCCTTTTCCAGATAGCCTAATATATCAATAAAATCATACATAAAAATAATTGACACGACCAAAAGAAATACATGAACAAAGTTCTACAAAAATAATATCATTCTAAAGTACAAGCTATCAATTGATCTTATTGGGATGTGACTTTAGCTTCAAATTAAGTTATGAAAAAAACGCTTCAGTAATTATTGCTAAATAAAAAAAAAAAGTGTGAAAAGCATTTCATAGTTGATGACAATCTAATTTGTCAAATAATGATACAATTTATATGAACTAAATGAATAAAATGTTTAAGATTGACATGATTTGAAAATGTGCAGCAAATTTAAGAGCAACATTTTTATTGTGTTTATTTACAGCGTCACATAAAATGAGTCACGCTAATGAAAAGTGATTGTAGACAAAAAAATAAATAAATAATATAGTGAGTGAGGCCGTATGGAAGATGACGCAAACGTCCACAAGGCGCTTTGTTTTGGTTATCGCACACGAACCCCCCCTCTGTCCTGCCTCTATCTGTTAGACTCAAAATCTGGCAATTAATTCTGTTTCTTCACAAGCCATCTAAGTCGAGAAATGCACAACAAGCATTTTTGGCCGCCAAATTTGCTAATCCGGAGTCTGTGCGCGTGCGTGGGTGTGTGTGTGTGTGTGTGTGGTAGTGGTAGCGGTGTCTCATAAAGCAGTTAATGATGTTTTGTTTTGTTTTTTTGTTTTTTTTTTACAAATCAGATTTGTACAAGCAACACGGTGCCGATTCATGAAAAAGGAGACCGCCCATATGTTTTTCAAAGAAGTATTTTTCCGCTCAAAGTCCCAGTTAGTCGCAACTTCCACCCCCTTGTGTTTTAACCTCTTTATCTTGTGATCGTTTGTGTTTCCGGAGGAAAGCTTTGCGGCAAAACCAACAGGGCCTCCAGCGAGGACACGGGACAAAAAGAGTGGAAGCCACACAGAGGAACTTACCTCATTGTCCACAGACGCACCATCACCCCTGTTGCGTCTGCGCACAATTTGACCCTGCAGGAGGATCCGAGAAGTTTCAACCAGCCATTTCATTTACATTTAACTTCCTTCTCAAAACAGTTTGGTCAAAAATAATGTGACATAGGTCAACTTTATTTGTTTCTTTTTGCTCAATCCTCACAAAAATTTGGGTTGGGGTTAGGGCTAGGGTTGGGTGAGGATTAGGGTTAAAGTTAGGGTTGGGTTATGGTTTAGGTTTAGTGTTCTGGTTAGTGGGTCATGGGGTTAGGGTTGGGGTTAAGGCTAGGGGTTAGGGTTTGGGCTAGGGTTAGGATTGAGTTAGGGTTTAGGTTTAGTGTTAGGGTGAAGGGGTTACAGGGTTCAAGTTGGGGGTTAGGGTTTGGGTTGGGGTTAGGGCTAGGGTTGGGTTCGGGTTATGGTTAGTGTTGGGTTAGAGTTGGGTTAGGGTTTCGGTTTAGTGTTGGGGTTAGGGCTAGGGTTAGGATTGGGTGAGGGTTTAGGTTTAGTGTTTGGGTTAGGGAGTTATGGGGTTAGCGTTAGGGTTGGGGTTAGAGTTAGGGTTAAGTATAGGGGTTAGGGTTAGGGTTAAGGCTAGGGTTGAGTGAGGGTTAGAGTTGGGTTTGAAATCACAACTTTTTGCCGCTCAGTGATATGGGGGCTTAAAAAGAAACATTTGTTTATTTTGGGGGTGGTGGGTTATTAGATGACCAATATTACAGGCCGGGTGGTCCAGTGGTTAGAGCGTCGACCTCACAGTGCAGAGGTCGTGGGTTTGATTCCAACTCGGGCCTCCCTGTGTTGTCCCTGTGCCTGCGTGGGTTTTCTCCGGGTACTCCGGTTTCCTCCCACATTTCAAAAACATGCATGGCAGGCTGATTGAACACTCTAAATTGTCCGTGAGTGTGAGCACGGATGTTTTTTTGTTTCTGTGTGCCCTGCGATTGGCTGGCAACCGGTTCAGGGTGTCTCCCATCTATTGCCCGAAGACGGCTAGGATAGGCTCTAGCACCCCCCGCGACCCTTGTGAGGGTAAAGCAGATTGGAAAATGGATGGATGGATGGATATTACAGGCCTCTTGTAAAACGAGATAAAGAACGTAGCGGGCCCAATGTGGCTCCTGGGCCATACATCATCGCTTTGGACCGACCCTTGAAATTTTAGGAGTCGCTACCCTGCCCCCTCCTGTCAATGACAAGCTGACCCCGTCACCTTGCTACGCGCTTTGATACCCCTCAGCCTTTGTCCCCCGAGCGGCTCTAAAGTTCAAGCGGGGTCATAAAACAGCAGCCAAGCGAATCTCAAGCTGTTTCTTGATGTACGGGGAACATTGTGAGCGACAGGATGTGAGGCGCGGACGCGGCGGTGCTTTGGTAGCGGCGGTGACGCTTTGGGGTGAAGCGACGAGGCGTCAGGGGGCCACAGGGTCTCCACTAACGCGGCCTGATCCCACAGATACATGACCTAATCCGTACTAACGCCACCGCAAGCATCAAGCTTACACGTCTCATCTCGCAAGCGGCCGGCTCCCGCCCTCGCGCCCCGCAGGAGCCGTCTCCTTCACTCTCTACGTGCGCACGCATGCAGGCGCAGGCACACAAAACTGCCGCCCAAAACGAGACATCATTCAGAATCAAACTAATAAATAAAAATGTACGAAAGTGTAGTTTATTTTTAAGAATCCTCAAAATCCAAAATGTCTTTTTTTTTTCAGGGGAGTGTGATATCAAAAGTTCGATTTTCTTCTTTTTAGGAAAATGCAACAGATTGTCTTCTTTGAAATAAAAAAAAGTTTGTCTCCGTTTTTCAAATGTGAAACATGAAGAGTTGCTTTCTTTTTTAAAAAGAAGTTGCTTTCTTTTTTAAAAAGAAAGCAACTCAAGGTTTTTTTTTCCAGAAATTGCAAACTTAATAGCTTCTCTTCTTTTTTCCGGGAAATTTCAATCTCAGTATCTGTTATCTTTTTTTTTTTTTAAACAAAAATATCAAAACTAGCTTATCTTTACTGGCATCTTTCTTCTATTCTTCTCACAGAAACAATTGTCCAAACTTCTCACTTAAAAGGTTTCGTTCTGCTCATGACCTTTGCTGATTTGCGGGGCCCGTGGAGCCAGCTTGAGTTTTGCTCTGAGATGATACGCCAAAGACGACCAACTCACATGATATTTTAAATTTGTCTTTGCAACGTGCGCAAAGTGTACTTTTGATTCATCCGACAAGCGTCAATCAAGTAGAACTGAAAGTAAAACTCAGTGTAGTCCGTGTTTGTCCAATTTTGCACCGGTGACTCTTCGAGGTTCGGCTGCGCTTGTGAGCAGAGATTATAGACTGCTGCATGGAGTAAACAAAACAACAATTTCTTCTTTCTACATATTTTGTCTTCTTTTTAGGAAAGTCCAATACAAAATGTTTCCCAACATACAACATCCATAATTTGTCTTCTTTTTCAGAAATGAGCGCGGAAAAATTGCAAATCTCAGGATAAGCACTTGGGGAAAATGGATGGATGATTATTTTGTTTTCCGCGTCAAATTCCAATGTCCAAAACTCAAACAATCCCCTTCTGTTGCCATTGTTTTCGGGTTTGAATCGATTTTTCAAGCTGACCCCATGACCAATGCAAACTTGTTGATTGTTTATGAATGCGCGGTGAGTTGTCCACACGTGGGGTCTTATTGTGAATGGTATTACCAGGCTAGTCATGGGATTAGCGCTGATTGTCCCCCTTGAAACGAGTGTCAGATTAACAGATAGCAACGCCGTCTTCATAAACCGTCTGCAGTGAAGACATAAGCCGCCAAGGATATTACCTCGCCCTCCTCGCGCCTTAGCCCACCTCGGATCGAAGTGCTCTCGCGGTGCGCCATCCAATCGATTCATAAAAGCGATGTGGGACCCCTGTAGGTCAATCAATAAAAAAGTAAAACGGGAGATGATATCACGGACAATGATTGAAACGATGTCCCCGACACCAATGGATCAATATGTTGACAATCTTGAGTGGTCCCGGCGTCACGCTGCTGGGTCTGCGGCAGGCTTAAAGTGTAGACGCTGACACGTGCAAACAAACGTGAAGTATTATCTTAATCTGAAGGTATGGAAAAACACACATGGATAAAGAGAGGTGGAAAATCAGGGGGTGCTGGTAGACAACAGAGGAGGAGGAGCAGGAGGAGGAAGAGAGGGATGAAGAGGGATTAAGGTGGTCGATACTCCCAGACTGAGAGATGACACTAAATCTGTTAATTCATTCCCCCTGGTTGCGCAGCCCCTCTTCTCCATCACCCCCCTACCACCACCACCACACTTCTTGTTTGCCACATTTCTTCAACTTTTTTTTTTTTCAAGACAGAGTTAATTTTTTTAATCTTGAAGAAGCAAGTTGGAGTTCTTTGACCATGAAAAAAACGGCATAAGAATTCGTTCCAAAGAATACCACATCACATGACCAGCCCACATCATCCATCCATCCTTGTATAGTAAAAGCCCACAGTCCAAAGCATACCACATCATGTCAACGATCTATAAATTCTTTGAACCAAAGGAAAAGCTAATGATCCAAAGCATACCACAACAAAGTCAAACATGTGTCCATCTACAGGACAGAAGAAAAAGCTTACGCCCCAAAGCACTTTAAATGTCGGTAGGTTGGATGAGTGGGAAGTGATTGACTCATTCTAAACACAGCCACATTTTCAGTTATAAGAGGGTGTGCACACTTGTGCAACCACATCAAATACTTGTTTTTACGTTCCTTATCCATCTGAAAGAAAGATCCCTGTTCTCCTCCCATGTACTGTAATGTCGTCATGGTGCTCACAGCTGCTAGCTCGCCGAGGGGACTCCGCGGCGTCCCCATGAGGGAGGCGGTTCCCATGGCGACCGAGTCCGGCAGATCACTTGTGACCTTTTGCAGGCGTGATAGGCAAACATGTTTAGAGCGCTCTGCAGCCCATCACTGCCTGCATGGACGGATCTCTACTCCTGGTCATTCAAATCCTTGATACATAGAGGAAAATGGATAATATTAATAATAATAATAAAAAAAAAAACTGAAGTTCATATTTAATGTAACAATACAGCTACCACCGATTCTGACAAAAAGGGCAAAGTTATAAAAAAAAAATTACAATAATACGTTTGACAACTTATTATTTGACAATTCTGTTTTTTATGGATTTAAATTAAATTGCCTCTTTTTGTTTTTTTACATTTGTTGTTGGTACTAATATAAAAAAACGAACATTTATTCAGTTGCTTTTTTCATTTATTTTTATATTTTCTTCTTAAATATGAATTGCATATTTGTTTTATTACGTTTTAAACTTTGGATGAATGTTAATAAGATACTTTGCGCACACACACACACACACTCACATCGATGAATTCTATTCCATTTGTTTTTCCAAATTGGGCCATAACGTAACTGGATCCATTTGTGTTGATCCTCTACCCACACACATGATCTCTCTTTCCAGCTTCCTTCCCCTACGTTGCCTGGCAACCTCCGAAGAAGGATGATGTGCAAGAGGAAGATCTTTACGGGTCATTCCGAGAGAGAGAGAGAGAGAGAGAGAGAGAGAGAGAGAGAGAGAGAGAGAGAGAGAGAGAGAGAGAGAGAGAGAGAGACTGGGCGACAAAGATGGAGAGAGTTTAAAAGTTCATGGCACGGCTCACCCATATTTCTGCGGCTTGTTTGTCAACTTGTTGCCAAGAAAAGCGCAAAACCATAATTTGGAACCCGAACCATTGTTTGACACCTTAACTTGAACACCCAATTCTGTCTTGAAAGTCTAAGTGGGAACCCTAGCCCTTTCTTAAAACCCAACCCTTGCATTAAACCCTCACTCGAGCCGTAACTTGAAGCCCCAATTCAGGTTTGAAACTAATTTAAAACCCCAAGCCTTGAAACCCTAATCCTTGTTTCGGACCCTAACTCGAAACACCAATTCTGTCTTGAAAGCCAAATTTGGATCACTAACCCTTGCTCTAAACCCCGACTCTGTCTTGATTAATTTGTAACCCTATACCATATTGTAAACCCTAACTTGAAACCACAATCCTTTCTTGAAACCCCAATGCTGAATTCTAGCCCCCGTTTGAAACCCGTGTATGTTGTCAGGCTTATTTCTGACTCATTACAGCAGAAATGGAGAGAAGGTCAGGGCAACGGTTGCCCATGACAACCAGGAAGGCTGTGTATGAATGTGTCTGCGGGTCCAGCACCTGCCTCTGTCTAGAAGTAGTGCTCAGTCGCCCCCTGCTGTTCCATTTTCTCCATCTTGTGGTGGGAAATGCTGTCGCCATGCCAACACAGGAAGGGTGGCGGGTGGGGCGGGAGGGCTGACATTATTACTGAGGCGTATAAATAGCATCCACCTAGGATGGCGAAAATCAAAGCGGCCGCGCTTTACACAGAGCACGCTTGTGAGCGCTTAAGTCATTAGAGGCTCAAAATGGACCTTTGCCGTTTGGTTTTCATCAAGGCCGGTGGACTAATGGCAGATAACGGGGCAATTTGCACTTTGATGTGGCAAAGTCTTGAATAAATAGTACGAGTAGAGAATATGGAGCCCAGATGTGTGCGCTTTTTTTTCCAAAACATACCGAAATGACAAAATTAAATGGAAAGTACATAATTAAATACTATTTGCAAATTCTTTTGCGTCAATTCATGAGACTTTGTGCTGCTACGTCTTAATTGCGCACCTTAGGAAATCTGGGCGCTGGGAGAAACGTCCACAAAGAAGAGTTTCAAGGACCCCTCAGTAGGCTGCAGTAATATTTGTCATTTTTTTGTGTGAGTATTGGTATATTGTCTGTTTACATGTGTTGCTCCAGAGTTTGTGTTCAAATATCCATTCCTGAAAGGGTCACAACACAGCGACTCCGATACTATTCCTTGGTCTGTTCTATGGTGTTTTGCATTGTTTGTTAGCGTTAAACTAAAACGGACTATTTTGAAGTGGGGAACGTTTAAATGTTATGATGTTCGGCTTATATTATGTCATAATCATCATCTATTTTCACTGGAAAAGTTTTTTATCTCAAATAATAGTTGTAACATGAGGGTAAAAGAGAAACCTACATTACAGAGAGAGGAGTGACACAAGCTGACTGAGTGGAATTGAAAGATATATCTCAATCATTTGAAATAACACTTACAATTCAGCAATCAAGGATGGGTTTGGGATTGGGGAGCCTGACCTCAATGACCTCAAGTCCATGGCGTGCCTTTGGTGGCTGGTAAGACAGCAGAGTCACAAATGTTCCTGTAGTTGGATGAATGGGCACAACTAATAAGCAAAAAATAATGAGTTAAAAAAAAAAGGGGAGTACAATTCCAAAGCAAAGTACAAACACGGTCCGGCAAAAGCAGTTTACCCATTCCATATTTATTCGTACATTCATTCATACAGTGTGTTTGTGGTTTAGTGGGAGTACTCATCCACCATATTGATTTTTCTCTCTCTATAAAATATAATATCACCTTTCAGATATAAATCCTCAAGTCGTGTTCAAGGCAGTCGGCTGTGTTGGCGGGCACTGCAGACGTAGAAATCACATTCTATTATGACTAAAAAAAAAAAAAAAAAGCATTTTTACAAGCCACGAGTCGGGATCGGAGGCGATGATAAAGATTTGAGGGGGTCTTCTCAAGAGGCAAACACTGTTAAATGAGTGGAGCAGAATAATGTGTGTGAATGTGTGTGTGTGTGTTATCCGCCCTGCTGTGACATCATCACACCAGCTCGCTGTGACCGGGTGCTGTGTTGAAACTGTCTGTGAAAGACAAACAAATAATAAGATGCTTTCATGTCAAATATAATAAATCCAGTTCATCACATGACCATGTAAAGTTGTGCTAAAAACCACCGTAGGTGTTAAATTCATCACATTAAAATGTTATTATAAATAAAACAATCATTTCAAGGTGAATCATTGAATTGATCATCAAACTTCGCGCTTCTCACATTAAGGCAAGAAAGGGGAAAAAAAAGCATGATAACATCTGCCCAGGGTGATAGTAGGAGTACAAGCTCTGTAATTTGCTCAACACGGCCATTTCAAACCAAAATGGCTGATTTATGTTTCAATTTCGAGCGCGGCTCCTTGAGGCTTTTTCTTGAATTTTGTTATGATAGATTTTTGTCCACCAAATTTGTTGTTTGATATTTCAATCTGCTGTGGGTGGCTATTTTTGTTCCTCCTAAATTTGTAAGGGGGCATTACCGAGGGGGAAATGGCTGCTTCAAAACCAAAATGGCCGACTTCATGTTCAATTCCGCGTCCGTCCAATTTTGTGTTGATCGCTAAATCAGGTGTCGGCGGTTAATTTTTCGAGCTTTGCAAGGAACGTTACTGAGTGAGAAATGGGTGGTTACATTTTTAAATCGTGGAAATCTCAACACGGGCACTACAACAGAGGAGAAACACCACGCTAACAATGTTGCATGCTTGCACAGTCACACACAGACACATGCATACACATACTGTATATAAAAAGCAGACATGTACCAGACAAGTCCAGCGACTTATTTCTGTTTTGAGGCATTCTAGGCTTTTTCTCGGGGGGTTTGCGATTTGGGGGCTTCTCAATGCTATCGGGGCTGTCCCTGTCCGTGCCTGAGTTGACCGAGGACATGAAGGAGATACGGGACATGTGTTAGCAAGATACAAAATGGTCTGCACATACGGTAACGTTGACATAGAGACTTTTTAACCACATCCTTCGGCGATACCTGCGTCGCACGACATGGCTTTTCTGTTCCTCTGGGGCTTGACGGGTGCCTGAGGTCGCAATCCTTCTTCGCCTGAGTGAGTGACACCAAATCATGGAATGGCACTGTTAGGTTGTTTCACACCAAACTCATCCAAGCACACTTGAGTGATTCATTCACTGAAAACTCCTTTGTCACGGGTCAAACCGGCCCATATTAAGGCTTGAAAAAAATGTTCATGGAATGAATGGGTCCTTCACACTCCCGTTGTCATGACGATTCTTCAAAATGATCAACTTTGACAACATACTCCACTGACATTTGACATAGACAAGAAAATGCTTGGCAGTTGAGCACCACTCCTCTATCTAGGATGGGTTTTCTGGAGGTAGCAGCAAATCTAATTTAATGTTTTTAATGCTGTTTTTAATTGCAACAGAAAACAAAATTAAAATATATATTAATAATTAGTCATTCATTTCATTCAACCATCCACGCTCACACTCACACCAGTGGACAATTTAGAGTGTTCAATCAGCCTGCCATGCATGTTTTTGGAATGTGGGAGGAAACCGAAGTACCCGGAGAACACCCACGCAGGCCCAGGGAGAACATGCAAACTCCACACGGGGAGGCCAGAGCCGGAATCGAACCCACGACCTCTGCACTCTGAGGTCGACGCGCTAACCCAGATCTATCCAGCAGTCTTTTGGAAGTCGGCGGGGTACACCCAGAAACCGTTGCCAGCCAAACGCAGGGCGCACGTACACCCAAAAAACATTCACACTTACAAACATGTTAAAAAAATATATAATAATAATCTGATCTATTTCACATGATATCGATCAGCTGCAATGTAAATGATCAGTCCTCAGGACACGAGAAAAAGTCTCAGTGACCCGTAAGCAAACCATCACAATTTCAAGTCGAACTTCGACTTGGGAATTTCCTCAAATGAAGCTTGTGTCCTAAACAGATGAGCAACATAACACCGTCAAGCTTTTTTTTTTTTTGCCTAAGCCATCTGATGCAGGCCGAGTATCTTGTCAATGTTTGATGATTATTTTTAAGTATTCGCTTTGAGAATTAGAGCACAAGGGCCAGTGAATCGCATTTATTTTTGTTGTTCCACGACAGGATGTCATTTTCACCACAGCCTGCGTCGAGCACCGTGGGATATAGGCTATTTCTAAGTCGACAACATTGACAAAGCTGTCATTGTGACTGTCACCTATTTGTCCCTCTGCGCTTTCAAGCGGCTGCGCGAAAATAACAAGAACGACATTTATATGGAGACTGTGAGGCTGAAATTCCAACAAGAGTCGTTTCGTTTTCACCGACCTTGACTGGCAGCTCTGTCAGGCAGCCCGTGCACAGATCTGCCAAACGGCGGGGGCAAAGGTGGAGGGGGCAAGCTCCTCTCCGGAGCTGGGTCTTTCATGAAAGTCACGTATGACGTCTTTGGCTGTTGAAACCCGATGAGAAGAGCAAGTAAATTGGCGAGCAAACCGAAAGAATAACTGTCGTCACTGCTTCATACCTTTTCTGGAATCGGCGGCGGTTGACCCTCCAAATCTCTTCTTTTTTCTTGGTCCTTCTTGTCCAACTTGGCTGGATCGCCCTCTCCATCGGCATCCTCTTCTGCAGCAACAGAGGAACAGTCATTGTTGTATTTTGTGTTCCCTCACCCAAAGAATTTTCACACAAATGAGAAATACCTGTAAATATAAATCTTAGTGGTGCTCATTGAGGGCTTCGGTATGAGATGCGAGTCCGTGTAGTGGGCAGTAAATCGACAATTATAGCAATACTCACAGGCATGAATTATTTCAACCAAGTCGCAACTATAACAAACACTGACAGTTTGTTTTGTTTGGAGCAACCTGACAGACAGGCGGAGTCCCGCTGACAGGGTTGGTACTTTGATTTCCCTGGAAAAATGTCAAATAATTGCCACGTTTTCTTACCAGGTAGCGTGTCGGAGCTCTCCAGTCGATGCCTTTGCCTCAGTTTGGATAAGTTGGGTTTGCTACTTTGTGGCGGGGGTTCAGGTTTCGTCACGCAGGAGACTGGTCGCCCGGCGTAGCCGCTCCTCCACCCTTCTACGCAAGCATCAGGACTGATGCGTCTCTCTCCCTGTATGTCCAGCTCCGCGCTCACTTCCTGTTTGGGCGAGGGCGTCCTGTCCGAGGGGTACGGCGGCAAAGGCCTTTGAGTGAAATGAAGCGCCTGGACTTGTCTGTCCGCCTTCCACACACTCCTTTCCGTCCACTGGGTGTCCAACTGTACGTCCGTTTGCTTGCTTTCCGACCACGAGCGGTCGATCTGCCTGCCGCCTAGCCGCTGTCTCTCCATCTTCCGATCGATCTGCCACTGCGTGTGTCTTTCCGCTGTCCATTGTCTGTCAATTTGGCGGTCTGTGTGTCTGTCGGCGGTCCACGCCTCTCCCGGCTTCTCATCCGAGCGCCGCCGCTCTGCGTGCCGCTCGCCCGGCCTGCTGTCCATCCACATGTCCTCGGCCTGCAGCACCTCGGTGGTCCTCTGCCTGTCGTCCGCCCAGTACTTGTCGGCTTCCATCAGCGGGTGCTCGGGCACTGCGTCCTTTTCGGAGTGCTGTAGAAAGAAAGAATATTTTCTTGCATGCAAATCTAGCTACCCACCTATGGTGAGCAGTGCAGAAACCACCTTATGGAGGAAGATAATTACATTTGGATTGGGAGAAAAAACCAAAATGGCAACATACGGTTGCAACTCAAAGACACTGTAAGAGACTCAACAACTGCGACATCTATCTTCAGCCAACACTATAATACCCACGTAGACAAGGCTAAAAGTTTTACAATCTTACATTTGGTTACAGCAAACCTAGTCTGCAACTATTTATTTTCCCTGCCCCCCCCCCATCTGAGTTTTTAGCCTGTTTTACTGCCGCTTCTCTTTTCTCCTTCAGCCTCCTATTGTGAAAAAGCTCCGATTCAGACGGCTTTCATTCACAGTGTGAAAGAGGATTGTACTACGTCCTATGATGTAAAATTTAGAAAAAGCAAGCTTTGACGAGTACTTTTGACGAGCAGCGTGAAGGGGGTGTTAAAAGTCACAGTGCTATGACAGCCAGACACGTTTTTAGTAGTTTCATGCAAATCTTTGACTTGGTCGCGGCTGTACCTCAGTGGGGGAGTAAAAGGGGTGTTTGCTCCCTCCCATCCCTGATTGTGGAAAGCCTGGCAATGGCGGTGGCGGACTCAAAGCCAGAGTAGTTTTCCCATCGGGTCCGTTTCCGGGAGAGCCAACCCTGGCGGCAGACCTCGGGGGCTGGAGGAGTGTGTACACGTTCTCTGCGGCCGGCCTAAAGACAGAACACAGGAGTATGAACAGTTAGCAGTACTGCTGAGACAAACAGTCGAACACACAAATAACAACAACTCGCATCCAAATGCTCCCAATGGAACTCCAACTCCTGATGTCAGTACCTTGGCCACCCCCCCTCCCCCACCAAAAAAAAAAGATGGATGGGGTTGACTGTAGTCATTTTCTGGCACAGAGAATGCAAACTGCCTGCTGTCGTCGACATCTGTGTCCTCACGCCTGTGTACACCATAAATCGTTTGGTATATTTAGCGAGATGAGGTACATATTTGTCGGGGATATTTGGGTGATTCACGGCTGCCGAGTGTCCTCAAAAGAACCACCGAGAAGCATTATAGGGCACTCGAAGATGCGGAGCAGATGGTATTTTGGTGGCGTTGTCGAAGATTTTAATAACTAAAAGAAGGTCAAGATTCATTGTGAATGGAGCATCGAACAGAACTGAGACACCACAAAAGGCAGCTATGTGAACAGCTACATTTTTACCCACATTTTTACATGACTGTAGGGTGAGAATGCTCGGTCCGGAAAATCAACAATATTACTTAAAAGTCCTTTCATGCATGAGTGAAGTGACTTTTACACAGGTACCGGCAAGTGAAAGGGGCTTTTAATACATTTAGGATTACAAACCCTGCTGATGCCCGAGCAACGGTGTGATCGCCGTAAAAGTCAGCGTCGGACTCCTGGTTGGACAGCGTCTGGTTGCGGTTTCTGCGGAAACCAAAGATGGCGAGCACGTTCCTCCTTTTCTTCCTCCTCAGTGAGTGCGTGTTGTGCAGAGAGGAGAGTTGACTGGAGGAAAAGAAGAAGAAGGTCAGAGTTGGCGTTTCAGACAAACTCGGTCCTGTCTGGCACAATCACGCCACGCGTCCTCTGTCAACTCCGTCGGGACCTCGTTGAATCCAACAAGCACACGTTTTTTTTCCGTTTGTCCTTCTGCTGTTTGGCTGTTGCTAGGCAACAACTCTCCATACACAATGGTTAATCTCGTTAAATTCCTCCTCCTACTTTGTCATTTTATATTCTGATGCAGATTTTTTCCCAAAGCATATGCGCATTTTTTTCTTCTTCTTCAAAACATTTCTGCTTTCAGAATTAAAAAAAGATTTCTTCGTAAAGAAGCTCAATGTTTCTGCTTATCTGTGAAACTCACTGCAGTGATGCATTCAATGACCTTTCGATGAATAAGATCGAATGAAAGAAGGAAATGTGACTATGCACATTTTATATTGTTGAAGATTTCTTTGAAATAAAGTGTTCAATAGGAACATGTCTCCCAAGCTTCACGGGTGCATTCAAGTACCCCTGAACAAAATAAAAATACAATTCTGTATGGATTTTATTGTGGAGCAGAAATATTCAAAATTACGCATTTAATAAAAAACAACTTATGACATGGCCATATGTTTCAAAAACAGACTTTACTGGTGCATTCAAGGGCCTTTGGACAAATGAGAGCGAAGGTATTTAACGGTATTTAGGTATTTAAGAAGCTAATGACCCAAAATGTTTCAAAAACACTCCTCAATGATGTATTCAGGGCACATTGGATAAATCAAACCTCAGTGCTGAATTCAAGGAATGATTAAAAACTCCACTGAGTAGCGACTTATGAAATTTTAACACTGGGAATAAGGAAGCACTCACCTATCTGGTAGGACTCTTTTTGTATAGAAATCTGGCAGTCCGTCATCCAGCGGGCTTATTCCTCCATTTTCACTACAATGCTGATCACACAGAAAAGTAACACATAAAATGTGCTTAAGGGTTACTTCACTTACAGTAGGTTCTTTTTATGAATGTAATCAAAGAAATGGATTGCCATCTCCAGAAAAATGACATGAGCCAAGTGCAGCCATCAAATTCGTATAGATTACCCCAAGTGGAGAGAACGATCGTGCATTAGTGTTAAGATGTCATGGAAAGTAACAAAGAACAGTACGTGTAATTCATTGCTGTACTTGGGGCAGTATGGAGTATCTAGTTTTCTGACAACTTTTTACTATTATGCCAAATATTTTATAACGGATAGCCGCACTTACTACTTTCTGCTGTGTCAAAAGTCATAAATTTTGCTTTGCCAACACAGTGAAGCCTTGACTTGATGTCTCTTTTTTTGACAAGTGCTGTGTAAGTCAAAGCAAAAAAATGGCTGAGAGACAGTTTTGGGTCACGCTGAATTCAAGGCACCAGTGTACTGTAATTGCATTAGCCTTAGCATCAAATTAGCTGGCAGATCAGCTTTTCAACGAACAACACAGAATAGGTTTAAAAAATAAAAACAATCCGCAATTTGGCAAATTTAGGAATGCTGAAATGCGAATATGCAGGGGTACACTGTACTTCTACATTCTTTTCTTTTTCTGTTCACATACTATATTTCTACCTCTATTAAAGTACAGAGTGTAAGTACTTTTACCACCTCAAGCATTAAGGTTTCCTACAAATGGCTGGATTGACGGAGGAAGTAGTCAGAGTGAAAGGGCCCTAACCGTCTCGGCTGGTAGATATCCTCCTTTGTGCCTGCGTGGAGGTCTCGGGCGGACCCTGGTCACGTGGTGGAGAGGCAGACCTTGCGTGGGCAACTCAGAGAGACCCTCCCAGGAGGCTGAGCGGGACAGTGGCGTGGAATAGGACGGGATGGAAGGGGGCGGCGAGGAGCTGGAGTCATCACAGAGACCTGAGGGGCCAAGACAATATACTTTGTAGAAGGGTGCACCCTGGAATGGTCGCCAGTCAATCGTGCTGCACATACTGTACAGACAAACAGGCATTCAGACTTGCATCTACAAAGCACGGGGAGAACATGCATACACCACACAGAAGAACCAAGACTCAAACCCGTAACGTCTGACTGTGACGCAGACATGTAATCCACTAGCACATTATGCTGCCCGTAACAGTTCAACAATCAATTGAGATTTGATTGTTAATCTTCCCTATCATCAATCAAGGCTATTCCTCCAAACGTCCATTACAGCTTAGCCGCCGCTGAAAAAAAACTTTGAGTCATCTTTCAGAGGGCAGTACCGCGAAAAGGAATAATGGACTCATCAGAAAGTACGCTAATGGAGCAATTTGTGTCACTGCAGGGGGGTTCGGAGGTCTGACGGGAAAAAGAGAAGTCGAGGCAGGATGTGTGGTACTACTCACTCAGCCTGGTGGAGACGGGTCGTATTCGTCTTGTTCTCGAGCTGCGCTTCTTAATGGCTATTGTGTCCTGGAAGAGAGAAGGATGCTGAAAGACTGGAGACAGAAACATGGTGTCTAGACCAAAGCATACAAAGACAGCCCGGGGTAAAAGGGGTTTCTTTTGTCAGTGGGAGTTAAAAAAAAAAAAACACAAAAAAACAAAGCTGCTTTTAAAACCTTTATTTCTGTTGCAGCAATGTTCTACACAAACTTCAAGGAGAGCTAAATATAAAATGAAGATGACAGATGACACCTGAGCCCCGACAAATACAGAGATGTTTGAAGCCTTTTAAGTATACAGTTTGATTGTTAGCAGATACTAGTAGCTTTGCAGAAAAGTTACCATACTGATTAAAGTGAGGAAAAAAGGAAGGGTGTGTTGTGGGGCTGAAGATTGACCCCTGAGGAACACCCCTAAAGAGACAAACTCTGATTTTAGCTATATTTTGTAGGCTGTGTATAACCAACTTTTAGGTCAAATCTGCAAACTGACTGTCAAACTTAAAAATGAAATAAAAAATGATTCCATGTCGCCTGCAGTTGGCTGGCAACTATCCCAGGATGTACCTTGCATTTTGCGGAAAGTTGGGTATTTTTTGAGTTGCGGGGCAGAGCTAGATCCCTATGGTTCTCCTCACAGCGTACCCTCACTTACTATACTGGTGCCGAGCTCCTCCTCAGTGATGTCAAGAGAGTCTCTGTGTCTGTTGAACCTCCAGCCCGTTCCGTCTTCGCACGACCCATCCCGGCGTTTGAGATGAGACATCTGGCGGGTCTGGGATGGAGAGGATGGAATTCTCAGGATGGATTTTTGACCGCTCAAGGCACACGGGAACATGAACTTGGACACCATTGTATTTACCAACGTCTTGTGGGTGGCATAGAGCTCCTGCAGGATTTGGTCCACGATGGAGTTGGTCAGATAGGAGACCACAGACAGTTTGACTTCTCTGCAGAAGATAAAGAAGGAGTACGAGTGAAAGCAAGTGAGTTATTTTATTTTGTTTGAAATGAAAGCCAAGTGGAGTGATATTTACTCCTGAGAAAACAAGACAAACTGTATTTTCCGAAGTAGATGACATTACATTCTCCTAAAAACAATACAGAAAATTGATGACGAACTTTCCTAAAAAGAAGACAAACTTGTGTAAATGTGTGTCAAAATGTTGATTAACATTTCAATGGAGCTGTAAAAAAAATGCAAACTGCTAGAAGTAAATTCTAGTCAGTTAAATAGTTCTCAAATGAACAAATACGGTCTACCCGTTTTTAATCAACATACAACATCAATATGGAAGACTTACTCTAAGGCTCGGTGGACATCCTGCGCTGCTCTTTCCATCAGGGCGGTGCGGATGGCGGCACGAGGTACGGACACGCGATCCGAAACGGACGAGAGTGGGGGGGTCAGTCGCTCCGCAGCGGCAGACGATAAGGGACAGAGCTCACGGCAGAGAGACACCATCGAATCGACGATCACCTGCACAGGAGCAAGCCTCTCTGAGTAACTTTAGGTGGATGAAGTGAATTACGATTTTTGGCATAATTGGGATTTGTGTCACGGAGAAACAAACTCATACATGTCTCAATGAAGCTCTTAAACCAACTTTAACATTGTTCCTTGGGACCAACAAGCACAAAAACAAAAAATAAATCTACCTGAAGCTCCTTGTCGGCGGCTTTGGCAAGCTCGCCGGCCAGCGAGTCCAAACGCTGGCGCACTGGCCCGTCCACAGAGAGCACGTGGGCCAGCTCGCACAGGGAGGGGTACAGCTTGGAGCATGCAAAAAGAAACCGTGCTTTCAGTTTTGTTTAGTTTTTTTGCCACACGTGACAAGTCTCGTGGCGAACTTCACAAGGCTCACCGCGCGGGAATTCCTGGCCTCCTTTAGAACTTGTTTGGCTGCTTGAATGTCATCTGCCTCACCGACGCCTCGCAGCAGGCACACTTGCTGCTGAACGCGTGCGCATAGACGCTCCATCACCTTGGAAACACAGACATACAGGCCGACAAAATGTTTTGACTGGTTTTGGTCTCTCAATTTTTGTCAGGTTTGTGCAGTACTTTTGGTCAGCCTTTAGTTTGGATTGTTTGCTAATTTTTTTTTTTTTTGTGGGGGGCCAGATTTGTATCTTCTTTCGTGAAAAATGTTGGGGTCATTCATTCATTCATCGCTTGTAACTTTGTCAGATTTGTACTTGTTTTTTGTCATGTATGTTAAGAATTTTTTTAGATCTTTTTTTTTTCGGGGTCAGAATTTTGTAAGATTAATGTTGATGTTTCGGTTGCTGAATTTTTGTCAGATTTTTGTCTGTTATCTGTGGTATTTTGGTCAGACTAACCGGTAAGTCTTTTTTTGACCCAGATATTTGCTATTTTTGTTAGCCAGCTAACAAATTTTTTGGGGTCATACTTTTGTATTTTTTACAGATTTTCATCATTTTTTTTTGTCATGTTTGTTACGTCATAATTTTGGTAGATTTATGTCAGATTTGTATCAGGATTTTTTTTGTATTTTAAGTCAGATTTGTTGCCAGATATTTTTAATTTCAGTTAGCTTTTTAACAGTTTTTTAGTCATTCTTTTGTATTTTTTGATGGATGCTCCTCTTTTTTTGCCGTGTTTGTCAGTTTCTTTTTTTTTTTTTTTTTTTTGTCAATGTCATAATTTTGTTAGACTTATACCAGCTTTTTGTCAGGGTTTAGTTGTATTTTCATAATCTGCTTTTTTGATATACTTTGAAATAAAACCAATGCTAAACACCACAACTACCTGCTCTGCGGTGCTGGTGACGAGGCCTTGATGCAGCCGAAGAGCCTGACGCTGGGAGAAACGCTGAGTCTGGTTGTTCCTCACCAAAGCCCTCTGGATCTATGCATAAAGTCAGGAAATAGGCACTTTTAACCCCCTTCCAAAAAAACAAAACAAAACAAAAAAAATACAAAAACAAACGTGAAAAAAAACAAACTGTGCACCGACCTTGGTAAGTGCCTGCTCCGTCCTCTCGGGGGCGCTGCGGTATGCCTGGCTGATGTCGCTCAGGGGGAGGGGCATGTACTGCAGGGTGAAATTACTAAAGAGGGGAGAGAAGTGGGAATGAGTTGATTCAGCCACGCATGGTAACCACTTATCCACGGCTGCCTCCATATTTGCGGGTTAGTTAAGTTCAATATCCCCACTGGACAAGGCCAGCCCATAATATCCAGCCTGTGCTTGAGAGTGAGTAATACCCTCTCCAAACATGTCCTACTTGGCCTGAGGCAACGGCTGAACATTTTAAGATAGCAATGTGGAGAGCATCAATTTGTCAGGCTCGTGTTGCTAATTTCAACTTGGGCTGCATTTGCACCGCAAGTCTTGCTGCACAAATTACAAAAATACATTTGATAGAATAACTACTTACAAAAATGCGGGTCAACAACAACAATAATGCAGGAAATAATTGCAATTGAATGATTTAAAATGTAGTTTCTTTCAACTGGTGTGCCTCTCCAGTATATGAAAGAATTTAAACCATCCAGAACCGATCAATAAATACAGATAAAAGACATTCTTATGCTCTTACTGTTCGAGTGCTCTGGCCACATCGAGAAATCCTGCTGCGGAGGTGTTGTTGCGATCCCATGTCACGCTCCTGCAGTGAGCATGCACATGGTGAAGACTTGCCCCCTAAATCATCCACATTTTCCACCCCGTCTAACCGCTGCATGAAAACACATGTGCCACCCCCCCGCCCTTCCCCACCTTTAATGGACTTCACATGGTTACCGGAGAGTGGTGTTGATCTGCAGGGCTTTGCTCAGCATCTTGGCGCCGATGTCGTCCATGTTATTGCCACTCAGGTCCACTTTCCTCAGACAGGTGTTGCTCCCCAGGGCGTTGACCAGCACCGTGCCCCGGGAACGGAGGCGGGAGTCGGTCAGCGACAGGGTCTGCAGGGCCTGAAGAGGAATCGGAAGCGTGTTTCGGTGTGACTTGATACGCAGAATGTGTGAATTATTGACTAGACATGTGTGTATAGTGATATAGAGATGGTGCAACGCAGTGCAAACGGGTGACAGCAATAATTTATGTTCCAGAGGAATGTGACGTGAGGATTTTTTTTTCCTCTGTCTCTCAGTGCACCAACCACGGTTAGATGGCCACCCAATTTTGTGTCAATTGATGAAACAATGGGGTGCTACTACGTGAACTGGGGGTAGGGGTGTGTGTATGTGTTTGTGGAGTGGTGGGGTGTCATGATGAATGTACTATCATCTAAATTGTCTTTATTTTTAGTGTGCACATACTTTCAAGAATTCAAGCTGTCATGATCGTTCCGTAAGAGCAGCTCCTTGCTGGTTCCATCAAATACAGACATTTTCACCAAGATACATGCACTTGCCAAAATGTGTGCTTTTCGGGCATGTTAAGACCCTAAAAAGGTGATTCCAAAAGAGCTTTTGGAGTTACATGCTTTTTATTGCACAACAACCGCTTACCTTTTTCTTTGGGTGCATGAATCTGAATATTCAAATTCAGGCATTTGCAGAATGAAGGCGTTCTATCGGCTGAACGCCAATCTTAGTCATCATAAAATGATATTTAGTGTCCATTTGGATGGGTCATCCAGCCCTCACTTACACATTCCTCCTCTTGTATGAGCTGCACCAACTTCTGCAGGACTTCATCCAGAACCCTGCAGATGGAGAGACGAGACGACAGAGACCGGATGAGCCAAGTCTAATTATTGCAATTTTCGCTGCAGCTGCATAGCGAGTGAGAAGCTGGCGGCGTATAAAAAGTGAAGTAGAGTCAACAGAGCTGTTAATTCCAGCTGGCACAGGCTGCGCTCAGAGTATGTATATTTTTTTGCAAGCATCGGCTTGACCCGAGACGCAAATAACCATGTTAAAGTCGCGACGCAAATCACCTGTTTTTGATGTTGAAGTTCTTGCCGAGATGAAGGTGTTTCAGCGACGGGTGTCTCGAGAGGGCGGGCAGCACCGTGAGCAAGTCTGCATCCAAACCTATCGACACGAGAACAGCTCAAAAGTCGCCCGGGGACAAACTCGACAAAAACAGGCAAGGTCAGGATGAGTGTGGGACGAGAGGGGTTGGATATGTCACCCCGTGTCGTCGTACCATTGTCTGAGATGTCCAACGTGCCGATGGAAGAGACTCTGGGGAAGAGCTCCTGGAGGACAGCAGCTCCTGCACATCGAAGCTGGGGGATGGGAGGAAAAGAGAGACAAGCACATCGTTCATTGGATTCTGGTTCTCTGCAGGAGTAAGGCTATCCCTTGTTCACAGTTGGGGTTAAGACTAACCTCCTGACAGACCATTTATTCATTTTATTATTTGAAGCATAATACCAATACAATCTGGACATGAGATGCAGATATCATTTTTGTCCACTTGAGGTGGCCAGCCCCATTTTCTACAGTTCTCTATATGTGACAATGAGTGAATGTGTGTGCACTTTAAAAGTCCTGGCCTGTGGAGTTTGGTGGTTGAGAAAGGTCACAAGTGCAAATGCCACAGCACAACAACAGTGAGCCGCAACGCAACGACATTACCCTAAAATGGAAGTGACCGGCAGAGGAATTGACCTGTATACTGGAATCACTCCTCCATTGCAGGGCTTACATACCAGACCAACCCTTCTATGCGTTTACAGCAAACAAATACAATTTCTTCCAAACGAACAAACTTAATTTATAATCTCACATTATACATCAATTATCATGCCCACAGATATACGTAATGAAATTATCCTCTAGGTGTTGCTTTCTGTAGCTCTAAAAAGCAGGCTAACATTCAAAAAAATGTCATGAAAAACTACTCTGTGCTGATATACTTCCTGTTTTGATTCTTCTTCTTTCAAATTTACAGTCTTGAACTAAATAAGCGTGCTGCCATCAAATGGTCAAAAGTAGAATTACATCTGACTTTTACAATTGTTCGATCAAATTAGACTTGACAAAAAAAAAATGAACATGGTACGCCTTTGAGAGAAGGGTTATTGTAATTCGTCTAGGTTACGTAATACCGACGGACAAAGTGAATCACCTTTGGCTGAAAGTCGCCCAATTGTTAAACAACTAAGCAGAGTGGCATTCAGTCTAGTTGGATTTACGGATTCGAATTATTTTACATTGTTAGTTTCCGATAAGTGACACATACGGTACTTGATTGCTCGGTGAAGTTGTCAATATAGTGAGGTGGTATTCGTATTTGGTGATGTGTCCATCGGACACAAACTCACCTCACAGCCACTGATGTCGAGATGAAGGTCGTTGATGTGAGGGTTGGAGGTTAGGCCCATGAGGAGAGCCCTGTGGAGTCAGGAGGAAGAGCCGGAATATAATCTCGGAACATGAAAGGGATGCTTCTACACCAATTATTGGGTACCTGCAGTCCTTTCCCACCCATTAAGTGTGAAGTAAAAACAACCAAGTCAAGCTTGATACTGCCTATGTCTGAAAATGAGTCTGAGCGTGAGCTTTGAATCTTGAAAATGGAAGGGAGTACCTGAGGACATCAGGGGGCAGTTTCATGGCGGCCAGGCTGACGTGGGTGAGACTGAACGCGGAGCTGAAGAACTGACGGAACAACGGCAACGTGTCCTTCCCTTTTCTGTCAGGTACAAAAAAAATAAAAAAGAGAACGAGAGCAGGAAAAGGGAAAGAGAGATGGATGGATGAGATGAGAGTGGCCACACAGACAAGTGTTGACGCTGTTGACATGCTGAGCACAGAGTACAGACATGGCATACAAAGCCAAAAAGTGGGGGTCAAATGACGGACGGCCCCACTTAAGTATTCATACACTACGAGAGCTCTCAAACTGCATCCGTGGAGAGCAAACATGCTGTTCCACTGAATTGCTACAAAAAATTACGAAACAGTGGTACCTTGATTCAGAGTTTAATTCATTCCGTGACCACGACTGTGACTCAGTTTGCTCGTACTCGACATCAAATCGGTTGTACCCAAAAACATTTTTTTGTTACATTTTAAATGAAGAAAAATACCACGATACAGAATTGAAAAATATAAATGGAAAATCATTAAAAAAAAAAAAAACAACAACAACAACAATAAAAGAGAATGTAGTGAAATAAACTGGTGATATGAGATGTATCAGTTATTTCTGGTCAGTCAATTAAGATAATTTTCGAGCTCGACATAATTTTTTGTGGCCCACTAAAGCAAAAGAAGTGTGCAAACTTCACCTTTCTTATGAAATTGATTTGTTCTTTTCATTTTCGCATAAAAACTTGCGGGAGGGCTAACTTTATTTTATTTTTATTTAATGGATCCCGGAAAAGACTGATTTTCACCTATTGCGGGTGAGTCTGGATGTATCCCCACCAGAAACAGGGCTTCACTGTTATTAAATTCGAAATAAAACAAATCAAAATAATCAAAGTGGAGATGCACGACAATGGCAGAATGAGAGGATAGCGATAAGAAAGACGGCTCGATGAAGCTTGAAAGAGAGTTGCGAATTATCTTTTATGGTTTCCGCCCTTTTGTGCTCAGGCACAGCTGAAAGATAAGACTAACCTGTGGGAGAAGGAATTTTTGGAAAGATTCAGAAAGGAGAGATCAGCGCAACAGCCCCTCAGAAGAGCCCCGAATAGCTGCGAGAGACAGGGTGGGAACGGTTAAACCCGAGCGGAACATGGACGCATCGCTTCGGAAACCTTTCGATTGTCAAAGACTTACTGAGTCCACAGAGCAATCTGTGCCCGACAGATCCAAATGCACCAGGCAGTTGGGCTGCGACAAGAAGAGATACAAGCTCTGCAAACACAGAAAGAAAAGAGATGTGATCCAGGCTTCAAGGAAAAGTGGCTACATTCAAGAAATGTAATGCGTTTCCTGACCGAGGCGTCGTCCCCGGACAGGACGCCGGGGTTCTTGCTCAGGTCCAGGTGCAGAAGCGAGTTGGAGTACTCGTCACTGGAGTTCAGCGCCATAGAAAGCGACACCACCCCTGGATGGTTAAACAAGCAAGAATGAGAAAAGGGGGGGTTCACTGATAGGAGATAATTAGAATGTTTTGGTGGGGAAAGAACTCTGTCGTTATTTTTCGTCTCTTGATTTGCTTTTCACAAACCTTTGGAGGTCAGCGAGGTCTTGGAGAGGTTGAGGAGACGGAGACCCTTGCTGAGATGACACATTTGCTGGATCAGGTTGGCCACACCTGCAAATGCAGAGCTAAATGTTAAATAAGAACATAAATCAATAAAAATCAGAGCATAAAAAAAAGTAAATCGGGTCCAGCTCCGCCACAAATTACAATTTATTAAATTGACTGTATTAGAAGTGAATATACCGCAAAGTAGGATGAACATTCACATGTGGCGGAACTCTCCATAATTCCCATTAACAACACAGGCTAAACTTGGCTCCACCCCCAACAAGCAAAGTATATCTCCCAGTCAAGGTTTATTACTTCAACATACTTCCTTGTCACCAATTCCTATTTAGACAACGCTTTGGCAAAATCTTATCGCGTCTTTGGGCACTTTGGAAAGAGCACAAAAACGGCAAATAGGTGAGTTTTGCAGAAAATAGCTGGGAATAGATTCCCCCCCAAAAATCAAACGCAAATAGAGGAATTTGTGAATAGTGAGCCACAAATACGCGAAGCATTTCTGAACATTGTGTCTTCAAGCATTGCTTCCTGTTCGGCAACTCGCTCTCACTTTAGCACTCACAGTCACAGTCACACGCTGGTGGCCGAGGCGTCCATGCGTGGTGGCAGTCAGCTCATCAGGACCAATTAGCGCGCGAGCGCCTCGCTAACGGACACTTAGACACGGTCCCTAGAGCCTCCAGAGAAACGTCACCCCCTTGAAATTAAGTTCCAGTGGAGAAGCCCTCTTGCTCGTCAAACATTTGATTCTCGTTAGACATCCGTGAAGATAGATAAAAGGTTAAGCTCTGAGCATGCTGCTGGTTATTCTTCAAGAGTAATGGCCACTTATCTGCGCGTGCGGTCACTCTACCTTGGTTGTCCAGAGAGTTGTGGGCCAGGTTGAGTGAGTGGATGACAGCGGCGGGGTTCTCGGAGAGAGCGGCCGACATCTTTTGTGGAAAGTCTCTGTAAAACAGCGTATTGATCCAAAGTAGGGAAAGGCAACTTAAATGCTGCATGGGACAATTTTAAAATTTTAAATGCTACATCTATCTATGTAGAGGATTGTTTTTAATATACAATACAATATTAATAATATTGTCAAATGTATCCATGTGTCCATATGTCTATTGCTCTTTCTCTACAGTATATAAAATACAGCCTTAGTTTTATTATCTATGACAATAAAGTTCTTTCTGCTCAACATTTAAGGCTCAATCCGAGATCACTATAAGAAGTTTCCACTTGAGCTGAACCCTCTTTCATTGGTCAGCTCTAAAATTGGTGTTAACGACCCTCTGGCTAGGAAAATAAATAAGTAAATAAAAGCCCCCCCCCCCCTTACGATTTCAACCCAGCGTTCTCCAGCGTGATCTCCTCCAGGCTGGATGATTTGCTGACAGTGTGCAGGACTTGCTCAGTCACCTCTGAGCCCTGAACACAATTAAGCATTATGAACACGCAAGCCTTCCTGCTACACAACAAAACGATGCGGCCGCTGATTAATTTTCACTTGCCAAGCGCAGGTCTTTGCAGTACAGCTTAGTAAACCACGTGTTGTACGCCACCGATGCTACAATCACCGCCAGATCCCTGCAGGAGGACAAACATCGAGCGTTAAGTTATCTTTTTAAAAGGTAGCAGCTTTGTGTGCGCGTGTGTTTTTCCATCACCTCACCTGCTCTCAAGGTGGCTAAAGTCTAGCAGGTTGAATTGACGGTTGTCCTGGGAATGGTAGATGGTGTCAACGTCCTAGAGGACAGGGGTAAGTCACAAATGTGTACAGTAAGACACAAGTAAGTTTCACTTCTTAAGCTTCAATTTTGAAGCAAATCCCACGTTACCGAGGCAGAACTCAAGCAAGTCGACTCCCCGCAAAACATTCCCATCCAGTCAAATCCTGACCTTAAGTCAAAAATCAAGTCATACAATCTTGCCTACTCAAACCTATATTTGCACATTAGCCTCTTAGAACTGTGGAGATACTGTATACTGGGGATTGTAAAATACGATAGAGGCTGTGAAATTGTTTTTCAGCATTTTAGTAGGCTAAAAATACACACAGAATCTGCCATGAGTTGCCCCATAAGTGGCTCTACAGCGCAATTGCGACGTGCAGTTAGCAAGCTAGCTCTGCCAACATTCTGAAAATGCATCTTCCCTTTGGATAGTTCGCTGGCGTGGCCACTTTTGGGCGCCTCGTGGTCGGCTGCGAGTGTTTGCAAATCAAGAGCAAGCATGAGAAAGAGGGGAAAAAAGTAGGATTCGTGTTGGCATCGCCACTTTAGACTGCAATCTTGCTTTGTTGACAGCTTTGAGTGTGTGCACATCACGGAGAGAAAAACTAAATTGAATTCACACGATCTCGAAAATACAGACAGGCAAGACTTTTAATGTCATGTAGTTCAGGTTCAGTCGAGTCTTTCATAAGTTTGAGCGAAGCAAAATCTCAAGGTCTAAAATTGGCAACGAGAGTCTGACTCGAGTCAAGTCATGTGACTCGACTCCCCCACCTCTGACATTACTCGGCAGCCTCCCGGTGTGGTGAAACATTTCAAAGCACTTACTTACCCATTGCACTTCCTCCTTGCAGCTGATGCCATTATAGTCGCACAGTGCCGCGTAGGTTTCTGAAAAGCCTCCTAAGGGCGGAAACGTGCGTCAGCAAGTCTTTCAGTTTTTTTTTTTTTTTTTTGTTTTTTTTGGGTGGGTGAGAAAAAGAACATCTGTGAGACTAATTGTGTGAAAGATGACTTCCTCTTGTGGTTGGTGACCATAATTAAGAGGGTTTGGGTGGTTCTGTATGTGCGTGAATGTGCTGTTGCTATCCATCCATCCAGTGCCCAAAATGCTGGTCAATAATACTTAAGGAGAAGGGAGCATGTATATGAAACTGACTTCTTTTTCAAGCTAACGTGTCACCCTAGCTAACGTGTTTGGGCGTGAAAACTATTTTCTTTACCACAGGCCCGCTGGGTTTCCACCGACGTCTCCGAGGTGGGCGAATACTTCCTGCTGCCCTCTGAAAGGTCGCTATCAGAGTGACAGATGGACGGGCTGCAGAGGTCAAGAAAACACAAAAGGAGTAAAGTTGTGGATGGCAGAGTCACCCGTTGATCCTGTTGTCCATTGGCGCGCTGGTGACTCTTACGCAAACACCGAGTTGTTGAATATCCTTGAGAGCGCATAATTGATGTGGCTGACCACGTGGTTGAGGTGGTCACGTGACTCGAACCTCAGGCAGCAGGTGGACTTGTCGGTGTCGATAATGACCTGCGCAGAAAAAAAAAATTGATTGCACAAAAAAAGTTACACTCTATCGTTTAGAATTTGTTTCCCTTTATAAGAGAGCTATAAAATCAACAAAAAAAATCACCTGGTGATCTGGGTGTGAATTCAATGCTCGGATCTCCAAAAAGTTAAATGTGGATTCAACCTGTTACCCAACATTCAGTTAGAGAAGATTGCTAATTTAGCTGGAAATGTATCTCGCTGTACCTTGGCGGGAATCTTGGGCGCCAGGAAGTAGAGACGCCACGTTGCCAGCACCTGAGGAGAGACAAAAAAAATAAATATATCGATGCACTGTTGTGGAATATTTTGCTGCTGAATCACACCAGCCAGCAGAAAACAGGAAGTTTTAATGGTTATGATAGGACGGAAACAATGATCTGTACAATATACAAGAGATTAAGGATGAGTCTCCTATCTTGTTTTCTTTCCGTGTTCTCATATCGATCCGACTAAAAGCAGCTCCGTGTTGGGGAGACGGCTTCATAGATTCAGGCAAGGGCGGGGGGGATGTCTCGACTCACGTTCTCAGAAAAGATGTATCATTAGTGTGATATGTCTAGCAAGAGCAAATGTCAAAGTGGCTCATATATCTGCACAAAGTGGCCTTGGGCTCGACAAGCCACCACAACCTTTCTACCACATTTACATTCGCGCTTTGGGGGAAGACATTATTTCTTCAGCAGTTGAGTCGTAATATGTGTACGGCTGGATTAGTTTAACTCCAGCTGCTAAAAAATACCAAATCATAAAACTTAGAATACAGTGATGCCTTGGGATAAGAGTAACAAAACTTATCTCAGATCATACCGCCCTCCCAGAACCCCTCCCCCCCAAAAAAAAGTCATAATCATTGCAGGAATCAATTCAGTGAACGTATGATCGTCTTTTTTATATTTATTAAATCACTACCCTAGGCCATGGCACTGCTATTTCTGCTTCCCTAATATTAAAGGCTGTGCCCCCTAGCCTGCATGCTTACTTTAAAGGTAACGTGAGGAGCGAAATCCACTGGCTGGGAAGCTGGTTGGCTGTGTTCACACCAACAACGACGCAACCGCCCATTTCTAACAGTGTTCATCTTTAAAAATACCAAAAGAAAGAAAACTCCACTCATGATTTAGACGTTTACTGTCAAAAATGAACCAAAATGGGAAAAAAATGGTGGCCCTAAAATGTCCAAAGATTACTGTACATGTAAAAAAAGGTACGGGGCATGTACTTGACAAATCCAACAACCGAGCCTTCTCAGTTGTCTTGAGCATAGCACCAGGAAAATGGAGCACACATCCATTCTCGTTCATCAGTGACAACTCTAAAAGTCAGGTAAGCATCTCAGTCGGAGCCAAAGAGGTTCGTTTTTGGCAGGTTGATGCTCTCCACCAGCAGCAAAGAGCAGTGCCCTCTGCTACTCTTGCTCGCATCTTCTGCCCCGTCGCTCCCAATCATTTACTTCATACACTCTGAAGGCCCGGCTGAAACACTCCCTCGAGACCAAAGACTCTCCTTGTGTTTTCTCCATTACCAATGAAAAACAGAAACTATGCTTTCACACAAATACTTCTGAACAAAATAACTCTGGTAGGGATGTCTATCATTAATTGGCCCACAAAAAAAAGTCTCACAAACCCGTCTTATTAGGGAAGTAAAGTCAAATATTTTCCTTAAAATTAGTTCTTTACTGGTCCAAACACTGCATTGTGTTTCATATTGAGTTTGTGGAATATGAATTAAAGCAGCAAAATGTACTCATTTATCGCCATTTTAGGGGGCCTAAGAGCTCAGTGTGCGAGCGAACCCAGAAAACTGGTGAATCGTGACATAACAAGGACTGCATTGTACTGCTTCATTCATATTGCACAAAAGGAACATTAATCAGATTGCCGTTTTTAATTGTTTTTTTTTTTTTTTGTTTAGGTCAGTCGTTTTGATTTCAACCAATTTAGGGTCCTTGTCAAGCCCTATTTGTCTATCTTGTGTGTAAGGTGATGAATCGCTTCAACTTCTGGGTACTCAAGTCATCCACCTCCCTCGAGGGCATGTTCATATTTTCCTCTGTGCTTTGGCTAAATTGTCAAAAAAAATTCAAACTGCGGAGGTTATTCCATGACTAGCAATGACACTTAGTATGATGCCATCGCGCGAGCTTGACATGTGGTTGTGACAGCCACCACCTGGCAGCTTCTTCTGTGGCGAGCAAGGAGTCTTCCAAAACATGCACGGGAGAAGGACGTTCGATAGATAGACTGAGTCGATAAAGCCAGATTGTATCACATTACAGTAATGAGTCGGCAGTTGGAGGCATAGTTAAGAGTAAACGGATGTGAAGCGCGCTGACGCAGCAGGGGGATGGGGGGGGGCATCATTACGAGCGCAACTACTACAACAGAACTGAATTCTTCTCAACTTTTCAATCGTGGACAGTCTTTCATGTGGCGGAGCGCAAAGCACACATGGTAACCTCCAGTACGTTTTGACTCATCTAACTTCGCACTCCCATCCACCCACCCGATGTTCCTGTGGATTACGAACATGACACTGAAGTGCATTTAAAAGTCCCTAAACCAGTGTGACGGATCAAGCGCAGATCGAGCTCTAAAAATCTACTACGCGGGTGCCCAGCAGGGGTGACATAACTCAGGCTTCCGCTTCTAAAGAGAGAGTGGTAAATGAAAGGTGCTTTGGAGGGAGATTATTGGAAGTCATATCAAAGCCTGTGGAAATCAAAGGCTGCATATGCAAGAAAAAAAAAAAAAAAAGAAATCTTTAACTGCCTTCTCTTGCCAAAAGACGAATCATTAACACATCCACAGAGCAGCATAAGCTGCCAAAAGTCAGACCCGCTCCGACCAGGATAAAAAGCTCATTGGCCTATCGGGGTTTACAGGAAAGGGAAACAGGGGCTACTGTCGGTTTTAAGTCCTAAAATCAAAACCGATTGAACGCTGGATAAATCTTGATCTGAATCCTACGCATGAGTCAAGGCTGCAATTGATGCAAAGCCACTGTCTTCAACTTTTGAACAGAAATAAAAATAACCATTGTGAACGTGAGTGAGGCGCACGAAGGCTTTTACAAGTGTGCGTCGCAGGACGGAAAGCTGGAGAGTCCACAAAGCTGGTTATCAGTAAGAAGTAAGACATCGTCAGGGTTGGATTTTCTTTCCTTCCAATTGTTCAGTGTTGACGTTTTCTCTTTGGTTTAGGCAACCTATCGTCTGCGGATGTGTCAGCTGGCTCCACATCCTTTCCGTCCATTCCAAGTTCCTAGCCGGGGAGCTGATTGCCCCAGATTGAATTTAGATAAACTGGCCCTACTTTATTCCAGCAAACAAAAAAAAAAAAATAGCTCTTACATCTTTGCCCCATATTTCTCAGATGAAAGTCGCCTGGGATCAAACGCCATGGACTTCTTAGCCCCCTCCCCTACTGCATCCACAATGACATCCAAGGACCCTCCTACCCTACTCTTTTAGTGTGGTTAACAAAATTCCCTTTTTCACCGAGCTGGTCAGTACAATACGTTCAGGAATGCCGTTGGAAAAAAGTCATCAAACTAAAAAAAAGCTTTTACATGGAAAACTGGGCAGTGGCTACGATGTCACACTACTACTAGTACTAAATCATAAGCCTTCAAACTTACCAGAATTCGATCCTCTGTTTTCCCGCTCTTGGTGTCAGTCTTAATTCCGCAAATGAACTTAATGGTTGATTTCTCGATGATCTTCCTGATACTGTCTGTGAATGAAAGAGACAGGAAGGTGTCACTAATGTTTTCTACTTCACAAACTCATTCACAAAATCTCGACTTCGCAGTTTCTACATTTGGTGCTGTGTGCCACATGCATCGATCCACACACTAATTTACAAGAATTTTGCTACGATTAAATTCACCTTGGCTCATGTGTGCTACACAGTTCACACTCACATTTGTAGAGTGTGGGCTGAAAAAGTAGTTTTCATCAGTGCAATCATTAAAAATAAAGCCTCTCCACTTTCAAATGTGGTCCTGTTTACTTGAATGCGCAGAAACAATGTCAACCAAATTCCATACATCTTTCGCAAGCCTTCGCATGCCCGCATGCTTCAGTTACAAAAATATCTCCACTTAAAGCCTCAAAGGGTAGGAATATATATTCCATTTTGTCATTGTGGGGCTTTCCGTGCAATGACGAGAGGCCCGAGCCATCAGTTAGCTCACGTGCTAACTGTAGCATTTGAGCGCACATTTTCTATGTATATCGTTATATATATCCAAAATGTTTTGTATTAGAAACACACAAGCTTGGATATCACTAAATACATCCAGTAATACAAGAAATGTATGTGGTGACATGGTTCTGTAAATTTTGGCATTCACGGAAGAAGCATTTCCGCAGTGTAAGCATAGCTAGCTAGATTTGCGCAGAAACTGAACTGTTGACAAGCAGTTGATTGCAATAACTTCAGAACTAATTTTCAGTCTTTGCATGTTTTCAGCATTTATCTCCACAAACAAATCTCTGAATTCAATTCACAGGGTTTAAACTGTCTGAAAAAAAATACATAATTTGCTTTTAAAATGCACAGTTGATTAATCATCTGGTGATTTGCTTTTGTAAGCTTTTGGAAACACTTATTACAATTATTTTAAAGCTTAAGAGGAAACTCAACGACAGTCACAGTATAAACATTCCCCTGTTGTGACGACACAATCATTGAGTTGGCTGATCATCCAATAAAACGAAAAGATTTCACAGCACATTTGACGACCCGCGCACTGTGTATTTAATTGTGTGTGTGTCATCTGCTTACAGTGAACCATTTATCCATTTTCTATAGCACCTTATTACAAGTAAGATGGGGTCTATCCCCACTAACTTTTGGACAAGAAGCGAGTTACACCTTCACCCTATTGAATGAGTGAGGCAAACATTCATGTTTCTGAAATGTAGCAGTGTGAAAACTGAGCTGAGGTCCAAACCTGGGACCTCTCGATTGTGAAGCAGACGTGCAAACCACCAGTACACCGTGATGCCCTTCGGGGTAATTTCTGACAAAAATATTCAACTGACAACAATGTCACCCCATTAGACACCTTCGACGACCTTGTGCCAGCCTACAGGAGGTCTCGGGGTTCTATCACACTCAGGAGCAGCCAACCCCAATTTGCCAAGAGGATGATTTGAATGAAGTGATGCTTGATTCAATCATCACAGTGAGACACTGAGAGCCATTAGGAGTAATTAAAACAGCACCAGCACTAGCCGGCATGTTTGTGCTCACGAGGATACAACAATTGTGAAAATGGCACCAAGGTAGTAGAGTATCAGAACACTTTGGCCTTGCTCAGGTATTATTGCTGACAAACTGCATTGAACATCTGCTTTAGAGTACCCCCTCCCTCCTTTTTTCACACACTGGATGGCATAAAAAACGGAAATGACACACTTTAAAGGCTTTTAATGAGCTGGAAATCTAATAAATCGCTGCCACATTATCTGAGCACCCAGCCCCCCCCCCCTCCCTTTTCCCGTGCAAAGGTTATTTACAATCAACCTGTGTGTTATGTTACACGTTTCCTCCCCGCATGCATCTGCACATGCATGCAAAAAAAAAAAAAAAATGTCAGGCGTAACAAACTGCGTGTGTTCGGAGGAGAGGAGAAGGGGGCGCGGACGATGCCCCGATTCAGCCCGCAGCGAGGCAGAGGAGGAGAAAGAGGGCGGGAGGGATGGTTTGGGAACCAGAAGACCCACCTGTGATGTCCTTGTTCACACTCGCGAAGCCAAAAACGGTGATCTCTTTGGCGGCCATGGCTGCAGCAGCTGGATTCCCTGCTGCTCCTCCTCCTTATTCTTCTTCCTCTTCTGATGGACGCCCTCTTTTTTTTTATTCTTTCTCAGTTACGGACAAAAAAACAATGGTCGCTCTTGCAGCCATTCCTGCAACGCGTCCGAGCTTTCCCGGAAGAAAACCTGGATGGATTATGGGAGGATGGATGTGAAGGGACGGGGGGGAGGCAGGGAGGGTGTGATGAGGGGCAGAGGGAGGGAGGGGTTACCTGCGGAAGATAATGAGAGTTAAAGGGAGAGTTAGCATCAAAAAATATATATTCTCAGATGGAAAAATGGCTGTTTAGCTGTTTAGTTTATTCAAGTTTTTTTTTGTTTTCTTGGTAAAATTGAATGGAAACAAACTGGTTAAAACCTTGCTGCGCGTAAATGTATGACAATGTAATTGAATGTTGGTAAAATGATTATGTTGATGGCCAACTGAAAGGTGCTCTGAATAAAAGACAAAGTCCAGTAAAATTGAATCAATATATGAGCGCAAAAAACATTAAACATGTTAGGTTTTCATGGGAGTGTCAAAACTATTGTAGCTCGTGACTCCTAAGGGCTAAAAAATGCTTAATTAAGTGCAGCTAGCATGCTAATGTTAGCATGTAGCGTTCGCTAATGGTTATTGTTTTTGGTTATTAAATTATTCTTGGTCTGACTCACTTTTCCAAAACCATGTACAGTACCTATATTGGGCTATGAAAGTCCTGTTTAAAGAAATATTTTAAAGCAGTTTGGGGGATCTTTTACCCCTCACCTCTCTGTCCTGTGTTTTTTTTTTTTCTTCTAATCTGACGCTCCGCCTGTTTACTGCTTGTCACAGGAAGGAAACGTCTCCACCAAGATGCCCATCGCTATTTGCAGTGACTGGCCACTGTCATTGCCTTTAGTCTTATATCAGCACTCCAAAATAATTCAACACGTGAGACTGAAAAAAAAACCCCTCCAAACTCAAATAGGATTATTCTAAATATTTCACTTTTTGTTTGTGCGAAAGATCCCGAAGAGTGGGGCGGCGGAATGAACATCATCCTCATCTCTTCAATGCTAGGTGAGTAAATTAACAGATGCAAATTCATCTTTACATCTTTTATTATCGCATTGCTGTTTTTCCCCCCTTCCAATTCTGATAAAATTTTCCACTGTGCATTCAATTTATTGGAAGTTTTTTTTTTTAAATAGTAATTTATATGGAATTTAAGCCTTGTCTAGTTTTAATTCAGCCTACAAGCAAAGTATAGGCCAAAAAGTTTTTGAGTGTGTATGCATGCATTCCAGCATGTGTATGTGTGTGTGAGAGAGAGAGAGAGAAAGAGAGAGAGAGAGAGAGAGAGAGGGAGAGAGAGAGAGAGAGAGAGAGAGAGATGTG